AATAAATAAATTTTAAAAAATAAATAAAAATAAAGATTATGACAGCTAAAGCATTTGTGGGACTCTGGGTGGCCGGTAGGACTTGCCTATGGTTATACTTCAGCAACAGCACATGGGTCCAGTTCCAAAGCCCAGATCCTTAGAAGTAGCGCCTGCTCAGCAGCCTAAGCAGCAGCCTGGCACACACAAGGACCCACGTTGGATCAGCTGTACTGCATGCTGTGCCAGCCTCAGAATCCCAGGTGTGCTGTGCCAGGCCCCAAAGCCATGCATGGTGGCACATGCCTGTGGCCCCAGAGTTGGGAAGACTGAAACAGGAGGATTACTACAAATCTGAACTGTGTAGTGAGACCCTGTATCCAATTTTTAAAAGAGATAAAGGTGGAGGCTGGGGAGATGGCTCAGCGGAATAAGTGCCTCTCTGATGAACACAAGGGCCTGAGTTCAATCCCCGATTCCGCCCCCCCTCAAAAAAAAAAAGATAAAGGTGGGACACGAGGACAAATGTTATCTTGGGCATGAAGGATCATGGGCCCAAACTCAAGTACTGTGACACACTGCTCCAAAGTTAAGCTTTCCCAGGAGCCTCTGGGTCAGGTGTGTCTTCTTAACTCTCACTAAGCCATCACTCAAGAAAGAGTCCTACCAGAAGATACAGGCACTGGGAAACTCCATTGGTCTTCCCAGTAATTTCATTATGTTTGTTCTGGGCAGTTTTTGTGCAGTGGGAGCTCCCAGCTAGGGTCAGTCTGCAAGCGTGACAAGGCCAACACACATCCACTTTGCACTGTTTCACTAGTGCCAGGTTTTGCTCAGGATGCATCAGGATGCCACTGATCTGAGTTTTATATTTGGGTTCTCTTTGGCTGAAGTGACCCAGCTTCCAGGTACCCTACCTAAACTCCGCTACTTATTTACATCAGGGGCAAAATCATCAACTAAAAATCATCGTACCTCTCAGTCTAACAGTGAAGCAAATGATACACAGGGAGCAGAAACAGGTGTTGAGCTGAGCTATGGCCCAGAGCTACTGCTTATCCTCAGCACAGCAAGGTAGGGGCACGGGTGTGGATGCAAAGGCAGGGCCTGGCAGGAGAGGGCGTACCTTCCAGATTGCTCTTGTTGCTCAGCACGTCAGAAGCCATTTGTTCTGTTAAAGAAGGTGAGAGAAGAGAAGAGATGAAGGCCAGGGGCCGCTGCTCAGTGGCTACACCCATCCAAGTCACCATGAATACATCCATCCCACTACAGCGGGTTGTGCAATCTGCCACTCTAGACTCCTTTGTTCCCAACAATCACCTCGGTTCTGATCTTCATCTCCTCGGTCTTTGCCATTGTTATAGCAATTGGTCTTGAGGCGTTTGGGTGGGGGACAGTAGTCAGAAGTGGCAGAGTCGTCAGCTATGCGTCTTCGACTCTTGTTCTCTACGAAATGTAAGCAGAAGGCAGCTATAGCTTGGCTGAGGGCCCAGGGCAAAGGCAGGATAGGGAAAGACTGCTAGCTTAGCCTGGGAGCCAGCTGCCATCTGGGGCATGCCAAGACACCCATACCAGGCCCACAAAGGGCAGCACAGGACAGGAGCCCCCTTGAATCCCTGCCACCTGGTATCTAGAGTACAGGTTTAAAGGGTTTGAAATATCCACACGTGAAAGAATACATTCTTTTTGAACCAATCTCAAAGAGCAGAATACCTTGCTACATAGCAAAAGCGGACATACCTATATCTAAGATGCCCCTCACTCTGTGCAATACCCACACATGTCAATTGAGCCATTTGAAACAACTGTTGGCCAAGGAACTTGATTTTACATTGACCATGAATGCAGATTTAAAATCATCAAGTTGGGGCCGGGGAGATGGCTCAGTAGAATAAGTGCTTCCCTGGCAAGCGCAAGGGCCTAAATTCAATGCCCAGTTCCACCAAAAAAAAAAAAAAATCAGCAAGTGACCGACCAACTGGCTCACTGGTACTAACTTGGACTTTTTTTTTTTTTTTAATTACACTGTTTAAAACAGCATTTTGCACTTCAGTTCAGGTCTCCAACTGATAATCCTCCTGCCCTAGCTTCATGAATGCTGGGAGAGCAGCAGTCAATGTACACAACTATCTTAAATGTACTTTGCAAATACTTATGAATTTAGTTAATATATGCAATGTTTGTATGGTTAATCTGTTTTTAACACAGATGCAAACTTCCCAATGAAAATTTATTATCAGAAGGGAGATGTGCCCTGGCAAGTGCAAGGGCCCTGAGTTCAATCCCTGGTTCCACAAAAAAAAAAAAAAAAAGAAGGGAGATGTGTTACAAGATGTGTAAAACAATTATTTGCAAGATGACAATTAATGGGCAGGTGAAATATCAAATCTACACTTAGCTGTCGAAATGGTAGTATTTTAAAATTGTGATATTAAATACGGATAGTAATAATTTCACCTGTTCCGGGCCGGGGAGGTGGCTCAGTGGAATAAGTGCTTCTCTGTCAAGCAAGCGCAAGGGCCTGAGTTCAATCCCCGGTTCCACCAAAATAAATAAAATAAAGACTGAGCTGAATAATTTCACCTGTTCCTTTTTTTTGTTTAAGGACATTACTAGGAAATAATTTACTTTGGCTCCTAGTCTATGAGTGAGATTCTACAATTCCACCTATATTTCTGTTCAACCTGTGCAATCCTAATGGGAATGGTTAAATTCAGCTCTTCACCTTATAATACCACACAGTCATTCAGAACACACTCTAAATGACATTCAGGGGGCCGGGAAGATAGCTCAGTAGAATAAACACTTGCCTGGCAAGCGCAAGGGCCTGAATTCAATCCCTGGTTCCAAAAAAAAAAAAAAAGACATTCAGTGTACTTATTGCATTAATGTTGAGGAGAGGGAAAGTAGGATAGCCAGCGGTGTTCAGAAAAGGCAGAAGGTTGTGCACCCAGTGTTAATTTGGAGGATACGGTGAGGATGGGGAGTGAGGTGGAGGGAGGAATCCAAGTCAACTGTAAGAGATTTGATTTGTCCAGTAACCACTTTACATTCTAAGAAATCAAAATGATAGAGTAAAGGAAATAGAACATAGACAGTCAAATGATGGGAAGGGAATACCGTGTTTCCTGGATCCTAATTTCCTACTGCCTGCACGACGCACCTTCGACTTATTAACCACTTTTTTGGGAGAAACAAAACAGAAAACATCACATTAAACATATGGACTATGAAGACATTCTGCATTTCAGGAAATCATAGATGTAAAAGAGATGTGGCATTGCCAAAATATTACAGGATGGGGGCCAGGGAGATGGCTCAGTGGAATAAGCACTTCCCTGGCAAGCGCAAGGGCCTGAGTTCAATCCCCGGTTCCGCCAAAAAAAAAGAAAAAAAAAAATCTTATGAGATGGCACATAGGTCAAACATTTAATTCTTCTCCACTGAGCTTTTAAAAAGTACTTATTACAGTTTTCAGTGACATTTCAATCTCAATTATATACTCATTATACCAGAGATGGGAAGCCAAGGAAGGCCAGGGCTGGGTCTGCTTTCTGATGCATAGTCTATTTCTCATCACACTGGCTCCACAGAGGTGGGCCTAGGTCCAGAGTCACTGGAGCTGGGTCAAACAAGGGCAGGAAAGGGTGGCATGTGTTCGAGGGCTGTTCCTACCAGAGGCAGCAACTGCCTCTGCCAATGATTTGTGCCCACCTGTTTGCTTCTTGTTGGGTTTGAGGCCTTCCACGCCAGTAGGCTTGAAGCCCCCATGGGCCCACTCCAACATGGGCTTCAGCTGGTCCTCCAGTGAGTCTCCAGGACCACCAGGGAAGTTCTTGCCAGCACGCACCCTGGCTTTCTGCAGAGATATAAACCAGAGTCTGGTGACCAGGGCAAGGAATGGGTGCTGGCCTGGCCCCACCCAGAGACCCCTACTAAAGCTAGCATTCCTCTCACACTGGCCCTCTCATGGGCCAGACTGCTGTCCTGCACTGTGGTATGTCGTGTGGAAGGAATAGCCCATGTGGGACACAGGCGAGAGGGCATGGCTGCAGAGGGGGTTAAGTCTCCACAGAAACCAAGCAGGGTCACATTTCTGTAGAGAAATTGAATGATTGGTTCCCTGTCAAAGCAGGAGATCCTCAGTCACCTCTGCTGCTTGAAGCTATATAACAACCTTAGCCTGATTATTGGTTTGATTTGGTTTGTCTGTGGCTTGTTTTATTGTCCTAAAGAAAATGGGGCCCTTGTCAGATGTGTATTAGTAAATGAACTGTGTGGATTCACATGTGTAATTAAGCACATGGCAACCACCAGAGGCTGCTTCAGAGTGCTAGGGGTACAAAACCAGTTCCAATGGAACCAGAATATGGGACAAAACCCAGTGGTTCCCAGGGGACAGAGTGGCCCACAGAGAAAGGAGGTAGCTGGGCTCTGCCGCTGCCCATGCTTGGCCTTCCACTCCACACAATACCATGCCCACCTACTGACAAGAAAGCCCAACTTGTCAGGGCTCCTCCTACTCAACACAGGTCATTAGAGGTCTAGGCAAAGCCTCAAATCCCTCCCCATACAGGCACGACAGCCCTACTCCAGTAGCCCTGTCCTCTCAAGCCATCTCTGGTAGTACACAGGCTAAGCTAGCTTTCAGGTGGGCTCTTGCTCCTCCCTGCTCAGGGCCAGGACCCTCCCCATTCCCATGTTACCTCCAGGGCATGGTACATGGCCTTTCTGTAAGAAACCAGCTTGTTATAGGTAGCCAGGTTAAAGTGCTGGCTGAATAGCCCCAGAGCCACCAGTTTGTCTGCAGAAACCTGAAAGAGAAAGATGTCATCAGTATTGCCCACATCTGTGCATCATGGTGACAGCTATCTGAAGGATTTTATTTATTTATTTATTTATTTATTTATTTTTGGCTGGCTCAGGCTGCCTTAAGGGCACAGCAGGTAAGGCGTGGGGAGCTGGGGATTGAACCAGGGTCTCATGCGCCTGACTGGGTTTGCCCCAAGAGGTGCTTAAACAACTGAGCTAACCTGCAAGCCCCTAACTATCAGAAGAGAGACTGTACACATCTTGGCCTAGAGCTGTGGCAGTGAACCTGCTGAAAGATCCCTAAGTTTTGCATGACTGGCCTAGGGCCAATTCATGGCCAGAAGGCTCACAGATGCCAACACCAAAGGAGAAAAATGGAAAATCAGAAGAGAGAAAGGCACAAGTCCTGCCATGCCCTATACCCATAAACCTGACACCCACACATCCTTCACATTTCAAACTGGGACCCCATGCCTGAGGACAGTTAGATCCATCCACGTGGGTGCTCCCTTAGATAGTACTGACATCGCTGCTATGGAAGCCAAGATGGCCCTGGACTTCAGTCTTCATGCACCCATAGTTGGGTTTCCAGCTGTGTTCCTCTGTCCACCTTCAGCTTGACAAGACTTTCACCCACATGAAATTCCTGTCACTGTTATAGAACAGTGCTTCAAATGGCTGTGACTCATCCTCATGGCTGACACTGACAAAGGATCTACAAAGTGCGGTACAGGGTTACGGGATAAATCGTGAGGGGACTTGACTGACCTTATCAGATACAAAAGTTACATTTCTTGTTATATAGGTTTGCTTTATCTTGGTCTTAACCATCCAGCAGAAAAGTATAAAAACGAGGTATATAAAGTAAATCCATAGTAATACGATGAGCTGTAAAAGGCTCAAGTCAATAACTTCCCACTAATATTATAGACTGCTAGACAGTGTTGGATTGTTTAGCTGAATTGAAACACCTATAGTATGTAGATGCCAATAGAATATCCACCTCTGACAGGACTAAACAAAAAAAAGGGATACAAAGGAAAGATCATTTTGTATTTATATGTACAAAATAGTTAGGATAGATATACAGCTACTTTCACTTAATTCAATGAGAAGAAAGAGGTATACTAATAGTGTTTGGACAGGATATCTTGTCTGCTTTTTGTACTATGGATAACCACTAAGAAGATAACAATGTACAACGTATTGATTATCGAAACTGTCCTATCAGCCTTTCTCAATAAAATTAAAATTAAAAAAATAGAACAGTGCTTCAGGCAGAGTGCTGGGGCAAACCCAGTCAGGCGCATGAGACCTCGGTTTGATCCCCAGCTCGCCATGCCTTACCCACTGAGCCCTTAAGGTGGCCCGAGCCGGCCAAAAAAAAAAATTGCTACAATGATGTGATTCTAAGTTTCTGCATATTGTGTCCATAGGCCACTGAACAGATCATGCCAAGGCCAAGTGGGAAGAGATGTGGCTGGGTGTCTATGACACCTGGATACATCTAGAGCAGAATCAGTCTGGTTTTGACCCTTACACAGCCAAAATTAGACCTATTACAGTAATCTCACATCAAAACTGCTCACTTTCATCTGTATCTTGTTAGCATCAGGCCTAGTCTTGCCAAGCACATCTCATGCTTCACTGGGCTCAGATAGTTACTAATAGCTCACCTTCCCTAGTTTCACAGGAGCTAACAGTTTACAAATCTCAGCCCTCCAGACCTCCAGGGCCAGTATCGAACCAGGATACTGGACCTTCTGCTCCCTCTGCTGGTCAGAAACAGAATCTGCAAGCGATGTTCTCCCATCAGATTTTTTTGTTCAGTCTACACTGCTTTTCTTCAATATTTCCCAGCTTGCTGTTCTTCAGGAATTTCACATAAACCCCAAATTCCCAGCTCCATACTTAGCCTTACTAGTAATTTAGTCCCAGAGAAACAAATGCATTTGATTTGCATGTAAACTGAGCTCTGGACCCACAAAATCCAACTGTTCAAGCTTCCCACCACAGTAAGAATTTATCCTTCACACCAGACATGGTCTAAGCTGCCAAAGTAACTACAAACAGGAGCTCAGACTTCAGGCCTGAGGGCCAGAGACCCTGCCTTCACTTTCAACTCACCTCAGAGAATTTGCCATCACCAAACCACTGCACCCATCGCATGCCAGCCACGGCCTGGCGTTTGGAGGTAGCTTTCCATGACACCACCATGGCAGGCCACCAAGAGAAGCCCTTGATCTTTCCCCACACAAGGTCCCCTATGCCAAACTCTTTACCATCCTGGAAGAAAAACCACAAGAAGGAATCACAGTTACAAAGAAAGACCATAATAGTCAAATTCTGCTCACTCTACTGACTCTGACAATAATTAGCTTGTTGTAAAGTGTGAGTGCCAGCTTAGAGGAAGTGGAGCTCCCTGAAAGAATGTGTCCTTAGTATTGGCAATGTCCTGGATGCATCTCAGCACTGAGGTGGAAAAAAGTGAGATGTCAAAAAGGTTCCACCTTAGATCTTGGACACTTGGGAATTGGGAGTTTTCAGCAATGTTTAAACTGTTAGGACTTCTACAACCCTTAGCTGTGAGCCCATTTGTACCTTTTGGAATGGTAGCATTTTTCTTGAGCCACTGAATGTTGCATGTGTTTAACTTTTCATTTGTACAGGGGGCTTACAGATCAGATCATCCAGCTATTATTCAGGGGTGGCAGCCACGCTGGTAGATAGTACCAGCACTCTGGGAGGCTGAGGAAGAAAGATCACAAGCTGGAGCCCACCATGGCCAGTAAGTGGAAAGAGCTGGGCTCTTAAAAGGACTAGGGGGGCCAGCGAGATAGCTCAGCTGACTAAAGCACCTGCTTAGGCAAGCTTAGTCAGGTGCAACTCCAACCCCAGGGCAGGCCGAGTCACCAGAGTCCAGGTGTGGTGGATGCCTGTAATCCCAGAGCTGGGGAGGCTGAAGAGAGGAGGATCTTTTTAGGAGTCCAAGCTGTGTAGTGAGACCCTGGAAAAACCAAATACAGTTTAAAAAAAAAAAAACGGAGTGGGGGTATATCTCAGTGTGAAGGCCCTGGGCCTGATTCTCAGCACCACAAATAAAGTGTACTGGCTTCCTTCTAAAGTATTATAAATAGCAAAAAGGCAGCTGGGCAGTGTGAGGAATGCCTGTAATCCCAGCACCCTGGGATGCAGGAGGATCACCAGAAGTTTGAGGATACCCTGAGCTACATAGCAAGACCCTGACTCAAAACTCCCAGCAACTTCACCCTATCAGTGCACGCTCCTCAGTATATGCAAGTATCAAAGAGCATCAGAAAACAAAGCTACTGTCCAGTAGAAAAGTATGAAGTCGAAATATAAGAAATAAAGCCATGCTGTTGGGTTGAGCTGTGGGGGACTCAGGTCAATAATTTCTGACATTGCCAGTTAAATATAAGACCCAATGCTATTATGGGCTACTGGACTCTTTTAGAATATTTTGCTGAGTTTACACACCTATAATATTCAATAACGGAACTTAGAAAAAATGGGGTATACCGATGAATGTCCATTTTGTATCTGTGTATTCAAAGAGGTTGGGATAGATATATAGTTGCATTCTCTGAATGAATAGAATGATTTGCTCTAATGGTGTTTGTAAATGGGATCACAAGTCCGCATCTTGTACAGCAATTAACCACTAAGAATATATGCAGTGTATTATTTGTTGAAACTGTCCTTCCGATATGATTTGAAACTGTCTCATTGCTATCTGTTTGTCAATAAAACTTTGAAAAAAATAAAAAAAAAAAAAAAAAAAGAAATGAATGCAGCATATGCCGAACAGAAGATGTTAACAACATGATGAGAATGTGCATTTGCTTGTTCAGTAATAGGTCTGAAGGCATTCACAATGAGTTCCTCAATTAAAAGACATATTCTTTTGTTGTTAAAAAAAAAAAAAAAAAACAAAGCTACTGGCTAATGACACTATGATCTATACCTCTGGGTATATTATAGATACATGTAAGATAACATTCACCTCCAAGTAAGGAGCCCGCGCATCATCAGATGTACATAACAAAAATCACATTACAAAAAAAAAGAAAGAAAAGGGGCAGGGGAGATGGCTCAGTGGAGTAAGTGCTTCCCTGGTAAGCACAAGGGCCTGAGTTCAATCCCCGGTTCCATAAAAAAAATAAAAAATAGAAAATCACATTACACGTTGCATACACAAACAGTGCTTCCATGTACAACAAATAGCACATAGAAAATCTGAATTCGCCTGCTGTGATGCTTGGCTTAGGATTCACAAGTAGTACAAAGGAAAGGCCATGTTACCTATGGAAGAGATTAGTAAATATTCAAATACTGTAATTAAAAATTAGAAAAACTGGCAGGCACAGTGGTTCATGCCTGTAATTCCAGCACAATGGTGGCTAAGGAAGAATCTTAAGAACAAGGCTAGCATAAACCTCAGAGAGATTCTGCCTCAAAAACCCCCAAAATAAGCACAGTGTGGCGGTAATGCCTGTAATCCTAGCACTTGGGAAGCTGAGGCAGGTCTGTCTGGTGTGCGTAGCCAGATACCTGTCTCAAAGAAAAAAAATTCCAAAACAACAGAAATGAGCAATTGTAGCACCAGCTTATCATAAGTTACCAAAAGTGGGTAGCAACTGCTTTCCCTTCCTTCTATTCAAGGTATTCAGACACTCGCTTTCGCGTACCTGGTACTCTGTGTCATCCGTGTCCTGGCCCTCAGCATCCACCTGCGAGGAGTCCAAGCTGTCCTGCTGGCTATCCTGGGCTAGGCTGAGGTAAGGGGTACTGCTGCTCTGAGGGGTTACGTCGTCATCTGTGAGGTCGATGGTGAGGTAAGGGCTGGCTGGGGACGACCACAATGTGCTTGCAGATGAGGCTGCCCGCCGCCTCAGGGACTGTGGACAGAGGACACCGTTGGTACCCCAGTTAGCAAAGCAAATGGATGACAGAGACCATGCCTTCCAAGGGCTCCCCCTACCACACAAAAAGTGTAAAGAAACCAAGGAAGGAGGCAGAAACAGAACAGTTTTCCAGAAGCAAGTTTCCCTGAAGTGGTAGCAGAAAGTCACTGTAATCATCCAGAGGTGGACACAGACTAGGGGATGAAACAAGAATGACAAGAGGCTGCAGGGACTGAGCTCAGAGGGCCCACAGTTAAAGCATCCACAGCACACCCAACCTAGCAAAAAGCAGAATCTGCAAGACTCTCTGGGGCTCCCACTGGCAGCTGAAGGTTAAGGAGGAGAGAAAACCGTTTGGAAATCAGAGGCTTCCAGTGCAATTCCAAGCTGAGGCAAGGGCTCAGTGAATGGGGAACTTCTGGCTTGCAAGCAGTTTCATCCAGATCAGGACAGAAGAGAAGCTGTTGGCCTAGGAGAAGCTCACCCACACCCAGAAAAGAAAAAAGCCAAAATGTCGAAAAGCACCAAGTGTGTACTGAGAGGACCCTGTGCAGCCATCACTGCCAGGGTCATGAGATAGGCAGACCTCCCCTCAGAGACAGGGCAGGGGGACCAACCCTTGTAGCAGGGAACTCCACGGGGGTTTCATCCATGTGGCTGCGGCCCTGCCGGGAGCGGGTGGAACGAGGCGGGAAAGGCCTGTACCTCTCCCGGGTGGAAACACTGCTGTGATTTCGGGTTCGAACCTGGAAGTAAGATAGGATATGGCTATATCCACAGGAGATGGCTCCCACAGGAAGCTGGACCTCAGGTACCTGAAGGAATGGGGACTGTAGCAGGAAGCAGAACGTTCCATCCTGAGGTGGTCAGGGGCCCCTGGTGACCTCAGACCACCTGCAAGTGACAAGGCAATTAAGTAGGTGGGAACTTCTAGACTGACCTCCAGCTCAGAATTTGCCCTGTTAAGTGAGACAAGAGGTGAGGTTTCAAACAATAGATCCAGGTCTGCTGTCACAGCTTGGAACTCAAAACATGTACCTGCAAACCAGGATTAAAAAACGCACGTTTATGGGGCCGGGGAGATGGCTCAGTGGAATAAGCGCTTCCCTGGCAAGCGCATGAGTTCAATCCCCGGTTCTGCCAAAAAAATGCATGTTTACCTTAAACTTTTTCTTTCCCCAAAATAGAACTGTAAAGCCAACTTTTGGTTTTTTCAAGTCAGAAGCACTTAAGCCCTACGTTTTCTCAAAATGGCCTCAGGGTCCTGAAGCAGTGTTCAAATTCTGTACGTGAGCAAGAGATGACGCATAAGCTTCGGAAGGTTACTGGAACCTTCTCATGTGTCAAATGGGAAGGAATAACACCTCTCATGCCTAGCAAGTGAGATTATCACCAAGTATCTCTTAGGAATTGGATGATCACATGGCTAGGAAGATAGCACAGCAGTCTAAGCGCCTACCTGGCAAGCGCAAGGACCAGGGTTCCATCTCTGGTTAACGCATGGTCTGCCAGCCTCAGAACCCCAGAAACCCTGGCATGCTGAAACCAACCACCAAAACCAGGTATGGAGGCACATGCCTATAATCCCAGCTCTGGGGAGGCTGAGACAAGGAGGATCACTACAAGTCCGAGTGCATACAGACTCTATACCAGACTTAAAAAATAAGAAATTATATGATCATAAATGATAATGACCTTCCCAATTCAGACCTCCAACTCTATATGCAAGACACAAAAATCAAGCCACAAGAGATGGCTCCCACGGGAAACTGACAATGAGTTATATATAGCCCTCTTAAACATCAACCCATCAGGGGCCGGGAGATGGCTCAGTAGAATAAGCGCTTCCCTGGCAAGCTCAAGGGCCTGAGTTCAATCCCTGGTTCCGCCAAAAAAAAAAAAAAAAAGCTAACTCAAACATCAACCCATGGGCCCGGGGAGGCTCAGTAGGATAAGCGCTTGACTGGCAAATGCAAGGATCTGAGTTCAATCCCCAGTTCTGCCAAAAAAAAAAATTAACCCATCACTTCTAAGACACATCCAAGAAAAAAACTGGACATCTTCCACAGGGAAATAAAGGAACAGCATTCCCTCCATGAGAGCATGTGTACCTTGCTGTCATATTGCTGCCATCTGTGTATTCTCAGAGAGAGAAATGTTTCCTTATGCTGCTGGGAAGGGCCCTGGATCTCAGTGTGGGAGGGTACTTACTGCTGGGCTTTCCAATGAAGTCCTGGTTTCACGGAACAGTTTCGGCATCACTGGAGTATCAGGACCATCTCCATCTTCCCCTTCACCATTTCTGTCTCCATCACCAGTCAGATCCTTTTTACAAAGAAAAACAACCAACTTTTTTTTTTAGTATCAGGAATTTAGGTTTAATTTTCCCTGAATTGCATTCCTAGCCCCTTTTGAGACAGGGTCACACCAGGTCGCTAAATTGTCCAGGATGTATTCTAATTTGTGATCCTCCTGCCTCAACCTTCCAGGGAGCTAGGAATATAGTGTTTACCATCACTATATACAGCCATAAGGTCCTGAATCCCATATCAGTTAAAGCACAAGCAATATATATATATATATATATATATATATATACACACACACACACACACACACACACACACACACTTTTTTTTTTTTGGCGGAACTGGGGAATGAACTCAGATCCTTACACTTGCCAGGCAAGTGCTTATTCTACTGAGCCATCTTCCCAGCCCTATATTTTTAAAAACCTACTTAAATCCCTAATATCAATCTCATATTAAATCAAAGAACTCCCATATGGTCAACTACCTAATTTTTCCAATTAGATTCTTGTAGTTGAAAATAGTCAATCAGATTGAAACCTATTATAATAGTAAGACTCAAAGACATTGTCAACTACCTTGTTTTATTTTGGTGTACTAAAGGAGTTACAGATGGACCAAGAGCCTTGCATGTACTAAGAAAGCACTCTACCAGTCACGGGAACACAAATGCAAGACAGGATTAGCTTGAAAACAGCATAAAACCCCCACAGCCACACATCATAGAAATGAGAGAAAGGTAATACACAAGACTGACTGGCCACAGCTGGCAGGGCAACTCACAGCACCTGGAAAAAGACACACATTAACTGCTTGAGGGAGATTTCTTTTTCTGTGTGTGTGGCCTACTCAGCCCGCCCTGGGGGTGGGGATGATGCAGCATGTGGTGCTCGGAACTGAACCATGGTCCCTGCACGCTTGCCTAAGCAAGCACTTTAGACTGTTGAGCTATCTTGCTTGCCCCACTTTTCTTTTCCTATTTTTTGTTTTGGAGGGAGAAATTTCCTACTACACTAATTAAGCAATGGCACTAACTCTGCATTGTTCCATAAGAATTCCCAGTACAGGGGCTGGAGAGATGGCTCAGTGGTCTAAAGCACCTACTTAGAACAAGCTTAGCAAAAGCATCAGGGACCGCGGTTCAATCCCCCAGCACCACATG